CCAAACAATGCGAGCAAATTGCTTAAAACATATAAATATTCTATAAAACAAAAGATGAAAATAAAAATTAAGAGTAGTAAATTGGCAAAATATCATAGACATTTTATGGGCCTGGAAAGCAATTAAAAATTAATAATATTAAAAAATACAAATACAATTAATAAAAGTTGCAAACATTTATAATAGAAGGTTATTGCGTGGCATTCCTTTTTATTTTCTAGGAAAGAAATATCGACTCTTTGTGCTTTACAGCTCTGAGTGACCGGATAATATTTTATTTGCTAGCGTACATATAAAATAGCAGATCTACATATATATGGGCTGCCTTTTAGAGATATAGAATTTCACAGACATATAGCTGTCAAATCAACTGTCTAACGAGTTGTCAAAACCTGCTGTCAAACCAACTGTCAAGTGAACAAGTGTGTCTAACACTTATGCTCAATATACTTTGAAAAAATACCACTCAAAGCCTTAAACCGGAGCAACGTTTAAAAATCATGAATTTTTTTATTCTAACCCGTAGCCATTGCGACCAACTTATAAAGCTCTTTGCTAATAATTTTTAGCATTTTATTTCTAAATGTCAATTTAAACTTTCAGATAGTAAATGAATGCAATCTACTTTATTGCGACGATATTTTGATGACAATTAATGTTGATTGAAATACAGTGATTACGCTAACTCATATATATTTAGCCAGTATCCTGTTGTTATAGATGGAACTAAACAATTTAAAAACCAAGAAGCAACTTTAGATACCATGACGCTTTCAATTATTCACACTCAGCGACATCTCTCAACGAGATAGTACTAAGAATATAACTCCTTTTATTGAGATTAATGATGACCAGAATGTATCAGTGATTTGAGGATATCAGTGGTTTTCAACTTTATCAGAGTTTATCCTTCGCGTAGTGTTCACAGTCACAGTGTAGTGTTGACAGCCAGAATTCCAGCCGAATTGTAGTCAAATTTTTTTCTGAAAAATTAAAAAAAAAACGATATCGCAGTTTCTGTAAAGGAAATCGTGCAGTGGATCCAATGTGGGCGCCTCTCCTATGATGGCGACCATTAAAAATTGATTTAACTAGATTTAAAGTCGTCGCACGTCAGTTTCTACATCATTTCGTGATCGTCAACAAAGCATTATCAACTAGGTCACAGCAGATATCAAGAAACATTCAGGATAGCGGATTTCTTTCGGCGAACCTGCCACAAACTTGGCGAAGCCTGTTCTATAGATCGGTGGGATCTACTTCGACTACTTAGCGAGGAGCAAAACGAAAACAGAAATATCCTATGCTCAATTGTTGGGCCGATTCGGTGTCGAACTGCAGAAAAATTAACCATCCATTTGCAAATCGAAAGGTTTTCTGGTGGCAGCAGTAGCTAAACATTTGATTACCTTCGCCATAAAGTTAACGATGCTAAGTCCAAAACTGTTGAAAATTGCCCGGATATAAGGGCAATAAAAGAACATTAGCAAAGAGAGAACTAAGAAATAGTAAAAACTGTAGCAATTAAAACATTAACTACAAAATAAAGCAGTTATCAAACGACACAATTCATAAAAACGAAAACAATTCTCCAAACTCTCAGAAATGGAACGATTTTAAAAGCGAACGAGAGGCATACTTCCATATAAGTGCCTACATACACTCATAGGCAAAACTGCATCACGTTGAAATGGATAGTCGTGCCACAGCAACCTGCATATAATATATTCATATTCTGGCGAAAATAAAAATGCGAAGAAAAAGTAGCCGAAATTAAAAAATAAAATGGCAAACAAAATGTTTATCTGACGCGCCTTTAGTTCGTTTTGTAAGTATAGAAAAAATATATATCTACATATGTACAAACACTTGTAGTAGCATGTGACACGCAGTAGCGGCAAAACTTTAGAGGGGTACCAATTCAAAGAGAAATTCGCTTGAAAACTTAGCCTGCGTCTGCCTGTGCGTCGCAGCTACCGAAACTATAATATTCAGAGATTTGACTTCAAAGGTTGGCAATTCTTTAAGCTTCGGTTACGAAGACTTTCGTGTCTGCGTAGCTAGAAGGGAGGAGAATGCATAGAATTAAGCCGGAGACAATGCTTTTGTAAAGTATATAAAAATATGACTCCGAAATATTATGGAGTAAGTGGACCACTAACCTCGTAAGCACAAATCTTACATATGATACTCGTAAGCAGGTGGAGAGAAGAAATCCCTGTGACCTGCGACTTACCATATTACAGAGCAAATTGTGTGGAATTCTAGTACCGGAGTGTTCTAATTTGCGAAGCTCCAGGCATAGAGATAAAAATGGTGAGATAAAAAGTCAGGTCAGATTATGTTTCAATAAAACGATAAGATAAATAGTACCCAACCCATCCCATTCCATTATTGAAGGTAACCTGACACAAAATCGGCACATAAACCCCCAACGAAACTTCGTCAGTGCCACGCCATCGACTGCCACCGACAACTATTGGATAAACACCCACACATCTGTGTGACTACGCATGGAGTAAAAGCGCCACAAACGTGCCACATAGCTGCCACCAAAAGTGGACATGAGTGGTGGTCGAGCACTCAATTTTAACTTTTGCCTGGCCTGAGCTTTTCTGTGCTTTTTTGAGACAATATCTCACACACACACACACCATATACACAACTGTAGACATACTTTTTTCCTTTCACAATTGCTCTTTTGAAAGTTATGAGTTTCTGTGACATATTTCAGCAATTTTTTGACAATTTTACCGTTATTGCAGTGGGCTTAAATGTGGCATTTACAGTTAAAAGCCATGTGGATCTGCATGCAGCTTTATTTAGTATGCACTATTGTTTTGTGAGTGTTTTGGAAATTCATATTTTTATTAAAGCTGTCGTTTGCTTGATGTAATTTATAGTCTAAAAATAGTAATTTAGATTTATGATGGCAAATATTTCTATAGAACGGAAAGTAAACTGATATACGTATGGTTTTAGAAGTTGAGGTTTTCGGTAAATACAGTCAAGTTCATGGAAACATACGAATTTCAGTCAGCTAATATCGCTCATAATTCGAGGAAACTGAATCAATATTGCTGGGAAAACGCCCTCCAAACTCTACTAAGTTATTGAAAACTAATCTCTTCTTTAAGGGTGGAAACCAGTTTAGATTTAAAAAATCGATTTGTTTTTATTGCATAAATTGTTAGTACAACTCTTCAAGAATATGTTGCTTAAGTTTCAAAACGAAATTCCAGTTAGTTCCGATGATATGAGCACTAAGGTAAATACCGGTCGATTCAGTGTCGAAGCGATTTTTTTTTCAAATGCGTTTTTTTCGAAACGAATTTTTTTCAACTTGCGGGAATCTTAGCTCAAAAAGATTTTGACCAATCGAAAACCAAGTAAAATATATATTTTTATGTAAGAAAGATCAAAAAAATTAAATAAAAACATAACATTTTGTTCAAACACCTCCAAAGCATTTATTTTCAACTCTTTTGGCCAGAGTTTGGTTCATATACTTAGAAATATATTACTAACGAAAGAAAAAAAATTAATGATTTCAGATCAAAGCTGTGACTTCCAGATGTCCCGCCAGCAGTCAACTGTGATGGCGATCGTCAACGGCCACTAACTCCACCACTTCTGGCGGAAATGGCATCGAAAAATTTTAAAGTGTAAAAATCACCAAAAACACTCGAATCTCCTAAACTGGTTTCCCCCCTTAATGCAAATCTTTACAAAAGATGTCCGAAAAGCATGGTTTCGGGGAACTTAGAAGCCATAGAACCGCTCGTATGCTTATTTTAATCCTAATTTTCCTGAGGAAAAAGCGACTCAGCACTCAAAAAAGAAAACTGTCGGAGAAGAAGTAAACCTTTTAACATCCAGAATATATTTATTTTTGAAAAAGGTGTTACCAAAGGTGGGCTCAATAGCCGCCATCTTGTACTAAAATTTCAATGCAAACATTTTTAATACACTCAAATTCATGTTTAATAAAGCCTGAAAAGAGAAATTCGATTTCCTTATTCTTACGCTCTGAAGAAATTGTCAAAGTTAGATCTTTTTTGAGGGCTTTAGACGGACTTAACGCTTTAATAATATCTTAGGTATATTTTTTCATAATTAATCATTGCTGTATTTTAAATTTTAAAAAGCTGTTGAATAGAAATGCAACAAAAATATATAATAATAATATTGCTTCAATGCAAAGTTTGAAGCTAAAATAATTAAAGCTTAAAGCTTTCTTTTATAATTGCTTAAGGTTTTCGTAATGCGTCAAGTCGTTAAATTATTGCATAAAGCTGTTAAGAACTACAAGTATGCAAGCTATGGTGAATGAAAAGAGACTATTTTGTCTACTTAGTGAACTTCAGAGACTTCAGCGGTTGATTTCTTGACTTTCCTATGTACACATTATTACCTTAAAAGCAAAGGTAACTTTAGGTGCGTAGCTAAAAAACGTTCACTTTTTTTATTAAAAAACAAAAAACGACTACTTAGCATTACTTAAAATACTTCCACATCAAAGAGCATACGCAGCCCAGCAGTCGCACTGTTGTGTATATATACAATACATAAAAGCTCGTACCACAACGCTAACTCGCACCGAACTAAACGCGATGTCAATGATTAAAAGTTTGCGCCCTCATCAGCAGCACTGACCAGCCAGGAACTTTTAATAATGCAAAGTTATTTTTAATTTTTTTTTTCTGAACTCCCGCTCTCTTAGAGTATCTATATTTTTTTCTCACTACTTTCATTCCTTAGCATTTTTTATACAGTTCATTAAACTTAAAATATACGCATTTTTAGTTTTCTAAACGAGGCAAAAGTAGCAGGTTGCTGATAGTAAAAGGGAGAAGGAGAGATATAAAGAGAGAGGTAGACACGTAGCGACGGCGTGAGTACGAGATGCAAGCGCGTGTATAGGTGGACCTAAGTAAGTGGTGGTGGCAAAAGTTGGAGTGTTGAATAAAGTGAAATTAAAAATCGTAAAAAATACTTACTTTACGAGCGTCGTACGCGCGTACCGTAGAGAAACGTCCTTGGCAAAGGAGCAAGTTTTCGTTGCGCGGTAACTAAACACTTTTAGTAGACTAAAGTAGATAAAAGTGATAGTCGAAGTGGCGGTGAGTAAAAAGGATGTGTGGTGTAGACTAAAGATGCATGCGCTGGTATTTAAAGGGTGATGGTGGTGTTGGTGGCAGCTGTAGTGCCGTTGACTGCTGGCGTAGCGCAAAAAATGTGGACTAATTTGGCGTGCGCAGCGATTGCATTCCTCGCATTCAGCGATTTTATTGCCAACTATTTGAAAATTAGTGCGTATTTTCCAGGTGAATGCATGATGATTGGTGTGCCCCGTTATATATGTAACTCCGTCTGTGTGGCGAAGACCAACTTTTTGTTGACTGAAAAGAATGGCATGGCGAATCAAAAGCATTAGATATTTAGTATTGTTTGCGCGCTAAGATGATTATTTGCTTTTTTATTTCTTTGTATGTATGTTTTTACGAGAAGCGTAAATTTAGTTGTTTAATAAACACGCGAATTTAAGTATATAAAAGAATGAAATGTAAAAAAAAAATGTAATATTAATTTAATAAGTCAGCTTTTATTGCGATATGGCAATGCTCAAAGTGTATTTTTATTGTACTGCACTACCGCTACATAATAAAGTAAATCAAGGATTATATATGCATCATGAAATGTTACTTAATTTCTGTATAGGGTGCGAATTAATTTAAAGTATTCTTGAAGCAAGTTGGTTAACTAGACTAGTATAAAAAGTTCCGTGTTTGCTTTCGCACGCGTTTAAGACAAAACCACGAGTCCGATTCGGAAGTTTTGATATTAATCTACGAGAGAGTACTACACCGTAGTAAATTCGTCCGCGGATTTTAGAAAAATAGAAAAATTCCAGTTGGATATTCCATTCTGGCGTTTGGAAAGGAAATCATGCAGTGAATTCACAGAGTGGTTGAGTGCTGTATACGGTGTCTCTTTTTCTTCGATGGCAATCGTCAAAAAATGTCACGTTTCAGAATGCCCGCACGTTAGTCTTTTATAAGCCACGTCCAGAAGCACCGAAGACGACTACCATGGGGGATAACGTGACAAAAATCCAACAATTAAAAGGTCGCGAGATAGCTGAAATAGCTAAGATAGTAGACATCTCGAAGGACCATGTGGATTATGTCCTGCATAATGTGGACACATTGCAAATTAATATGCCTAGTCGCATTGACCTATCCAGACAAAAAGCGCAACCGGGAAACCACTTCATAGCACTCCTTGGTGCTAGATAAGCGAAATCCGAAAGAAAAAATTCGGTCCATTTCTGCAGCAGATAGCTACTGCTTATAAAAAGTGGGTCACTTACGACAATATGAAGTGAAAAGTGGTCGTGATCGAAGTAAGCTGGCATAAAAGATGGCCAAGGTGGGGAAGGTTTTGGTATGTGTTTGGTAGGATTGGCAGGGAATCACCTGCTACTCTTCTAAGACTAAGCTTTTAATTCAGATCTAAGCTGTCAACAATTGGAATGTCTGAAGGGAGCAATCATTCAGAAGCGGCCAGTTTCGGCACAGAAGAGAGGAATTTTATTCCACCAAGACAACGCTAGGGAACACATATCTATAGCGACTTGAACCGACAGCTTTGATAGTTGTGAGATTTTTATGCATCCATTATAGGTATTTTTCAAACCTAAAGAAAGGCTTACATCAGAACTTCAGATTTACGCACAGCGCAGGTCAGCGGCATAAAATATGTCACAACTCAATTTTTAATTTATCAAAAACTCAGCACTCCACAAAAATTACACTTTTTATTAACACATAATCTAAGCGTGCAGGCATATCACACCCAACGCACACCCAAATATGCACACATTTTAATTAAAAACTCATATTTTGCTGTTAATCCCACAAAGTACCAAATAATGCGCTAGAAATCAGCACAGCACGAGCCAGAGCACACATACAGCCACACACACAAACACGTGCGCACGCAGGCGAGCGCATCACCACTAATAGCACAGCGAAGCAGGAGAGCCGGGTGTAAATGACAACTATCAAAGCAGTGCACTACGCATTTTCCACCTTGTCAAGCGGATTTAAAACGTCTGAAATCCAGAGCGCATAGCACATGCCATAAACTAAAAGTAAAGCAACAGCAACAACAACTACAGTAAGCAGGCCGATAAAAGTGAGCCTCTATGCCAACACCACAACAGAGTAGCCACCACCGAAATCAACATTAACATTACAACAACAACAACGACCATAACATCGACAACAGCAACAACCATCGCCGCCACTTAACTTCAGCGCTGCATTTGAGTGTGTACCAAATAGTCGTACTAGCAGACAACAGTAGTGACGGCAATAACAACAACACAAAAATCCAAAACGAATTTTCAATAGGATTTTCATAGAGACACAGCACTCAGAATGAATTGCTGCGTCTGAAGGTTTTCGATATGCCCGCTGCAGCGAGTGCGTCGTTTTGGTAGACACACGAAAAAGCAACCCTCAAAAATTGCCAAACAATTATGTAGCCATGAATGTTTATATGTGTATGTGATGCATGAAGCCTCGGAAAGGACTCGACAGGATAATGAGCGAATATGCACGCAAAGGCAGACGCAAAGTGTTGGTAGGAGTCCGACACGAAGTGCGACAGGAAGGCGAATAAGCGGCGACTAAAGCGACCAGGAGACCAGGCGACCGGATCATTGACATTGCAGTGACAACACAACGTGTGTGTATGTATGTATATGTTGCGAGTCAAGGGATGAAGGTCGACAAGGGACGCTGATGTGTAGGAACAAAGTGCTCACAGTTGATACTCGTATATATACCTATATGCGTCCGCCACGAGCCATAGCGTGCCGCCTGATGGTCACAGAAAGCGAGACATGCACACGATTGCGGAAGAATACTCTGACATACATATAAGTCCCATAACTGTAGATGCGCACACACATACATATATACCTATGCAAAAAAGAAGCACACAAATACTGCAATGGATCGGGGCCACATACTATATTTTCGTGTCAGACTGCAATTTCGTTGGATGAACAGACAACTCACTATGTGAGACAAAGAACGGTTAGCTGTACGGCGGCTCACACAACATACTACTTAATCGATCTGAGATGTAACTGAAGCGCAGCAAATGCATTAGACCAAATTCAATTGTTGTCGTTGATGGAAGGTGAAAAACTTCGGCTTCGGCAAATGGACATATGGAAAATTCTCAAATGACAAGCATTTAGGTGGCGTTGCAAGCGTTGGATAGTGCTTTTAAGTGAGTGAGTTGTTGAACACTTGAAACAGTGGGTGTAAATATTCAGACTTTCCTGGAATTTAAGTTCTCAACTTACCTTATTGACAGCTGAATAAATCGCTAAGAACCAAAATGACTAGAAACTCTGATATAGAGCTGCACTTTTTGAATAGTCTCTTCACATAAAATCCAGCAACCATTCGCAGATGGCTCAAAAATTGTAGAACCCTGGTTGGGTAGAAGCCGCTGGTGGAGAGGGACAGAGAGTTTCTTTACGGATGGAGGAAGAGCTCACTAACAAAAAAACAGTTCGTTCAAGGTTGATTAAAGAATGCCTAACTTCGTTGTTAATACAGAGTCGTAGGTAACTGCAAAACTGATGAGCTTTCAAGAAAAGGCACCCTAGCTCCACTACCAGTAGTATGGGAACGGGTCAGTGCTCCGTTCTCCTCATGCGTTGTACTACTAGATAGCTGGGCTTTTCGAAAGTTTGGTCGCTGGGCTAACATCGATTCTGTGCTCGGATCCTTTTGGCCCAAGGACGATCAGGGCAATCGTGGCACAATCAAAAAGGAAGTGTTGAGATGTTTCCACCTTATCTTCCGCCACACAGCTTCTGCATCTCTACATCCGATAAGATAACAGAGTGGAAGCCGAAAGGTCTATGACCAATTCAACCTGAGAGAAGCTAGCCTTGAGGGCAAAAAGCTCACTGAATCTCTTGCGATCGTCCTTGGGCCAAAAGGATCCGAGCACAGATGCGATAGATGCACTTAGGGCTCACACTTGCAGATATTCCGCTGAGTGGGAATAGAAATTTGTATAGGCCTCTAGGCGCTTTGCCGAAATATAATATCGGTTACGCGAGTTCTTTTTCACAAGAACTATACATAGTAGTCCAAGTGCGATCCCCACCTTAAGGATCTGCCCTCGAACCTAACATAACCGAACTGTGGACCTCTATCTATAACTGAAATAAAATACACATTAACGATTTGTTTCATGGATTCCAAGAGATGTTTTCAAAGACATCATCGATGAAATGGAGCTATTTCAGAAAAAACAGAGCACAAACACAGCAAATGTATAAAAAAAAAAGCAATATATGATAGGAATGTCTTCGGACTCAACAGCAGTGTCTTCCAGAGATACCTAGGTCAACTAAGTCTAAATATTTGATAGTTATACGGAAGCCCTTTTCTACCGAATTTTCTACCGAACGTGTCTCCAGCTTGGTATTAATTTGCACTAGAAACAACAACCAATATTGTAACGGAATTTCGCTAAAACCGGCACACTGTTTCCACCCCTTAAGCCCTCAAGTGGTGAAAAACGAAAATCTAACAATTGTTAATCTGGACATGTGTTTGGAAAAAGTGTTATTTGTGTTTGTAGACATGCTCATATGGACACTGATTGCCATCGTATAGATATGTAGTTGTAGTATTTGGTTTTGTTGTTGTTTGATTGTGTACGGTACACGACAATTGCCGTTGTCGTGGCTGTGGTAGGCCGTTGCATGTTGCACTGTTTTTCCGGCGTGTTGCATGTTTGATGTGATGTTGTGGCTATTTGACGACTTTACATTTTACCTATGTTATTGTTCATTGTTGTTGTTGTTGTTGTTATTGCTGCTGCACTAAACTCATTTTCATTGCTGTAGCTGCAGTTTGTTGTAGTCCGTGCCGATGCTGATGTTGACACCGCCAACGTCGCTGCCGCCGCAACCTAATAGGTGTTTGATATTTACCTTGCCTATTTACAGGGTGTTTTGAACGATCGATAAGCGCAGGCCGCAACGCATATGAGGTACGCATATGCGGAAAGTTACAGTGGGAGGATGTCACAAAATACTGTTTTTAAGAAAGCATAAAGTTACTCGGATTTCTGAACTTTTATGAACTGATACTTCAAAGCTGGAAGAGGAAAGATGTTTTGATCTATCAACAGCGTTAAATTTGCATTGAAATTTAGAGGGTCGTTCCTTTTCATCCCCCACTTTTGCTTTAAATATTAATTGAGTTTAAGCTCTCTCAAAGGTTTATATAAAATGACCATTAAAAATAGGAACATTCCACGAAGAGAGATCGCAAGGGTTCAAAACCGTTATCTGCCT